TGAACAAGCCAGAAGTACCAGAAGTAAAAAGATCCATTAACAAACCACATTTTGCAACAGCCATAAGGATCCCCAGATTTCTCGTCTGTGGATTTCTCTTCTCCGTGCTTTAGATTTTCGAAAGGAAAAAGAAACCAACCAAAAAACCCCAAGAACTCAGCTTAGCCGTCTCTAATCCAATATGCACCTCAGTCTCCATGAAAGTGTTCTTGGGACGAGAGCAGTATTTCCCTTGGCTGGGATGCCCAGCCTCCTGGCTCCTCTGGAGCTGCAGAGCTGTAGACATTCCGCTGAGTAGTTTGCAACCCTGCTTGCCAGGAAAACCCAATGTCTCCATGGAGAAATCTCAGCGGAGGAGTTTGATACTCAATCAGGGATGGAAAAGAAGGGAGTTTATGCCTCCTTGAGACCAATCCCTCCTCTAAAAAACTTTAAAAAGCAGGAGGAAAAAAAAAGAAGAAAAAGAAAAGCGACTGTATTCTGACAAGCATGGCCCAGGCATCCCAGCAGTGTTGGTTTTGCTATGTGTCAGGACTGCCCCAAGTCACAAAGGCTTGGTCCAAATGTCTGTTTAGGTCAGTGGGAGTCTATCAACTTCGGATCAGACTCAAAGTTTGGATCTGGAGCTGAGCTTCCAAAAGTCTGGGCACGTTTGCACCTTCTGGTGAGGGGAGCTTGGTTTGGCCCAGCCTTGAGATAGGAGCCAGCTGCAAACGCAGGCCTCCAAACATGTTCTAGGAAAGAGGTTATAAAAGAGCCCCTTCTTGCTCAACACATTTATTCCCTGTGGGCCAGATTCTGACATCTTCATTAACACTGAGCAGAACCTGCTCCAAGAGCAGTTACATTGATTTGAATGGGGCTATTCAGGGAGTCAGCAAGGGTAGCACCATCTAAGGGTCACATCTGTTTGCTTCCTTGACACAAATTATTTTTTCTCCTTTCTGCTATTAGCACACACAGTTACAGCAAAAGCACATTGGGTTCCCTTCTTCCTGGCATCTCTTCAGCAAAACTCTGGTTGCAGACCCTTACTGGTAACGAGGTAAGAAGCAAAAAGAGCAGGAGCTCAGTTAATAGCCCTGACAGCTAGAAAAAGCCTTCAGTGACAAAAGAAAGCAATGGTGAGAAATTCAGAGTTCCTTCCTGAGCCCTGTTCTAAACACCTTCTGTCTGTTTTCCCTCCCAGATCAAAAAATAGTGCCTCATGTGAAAGCAGAAGAAAGGCATTACGGCCTTCCTGCATCTTTTTGTAGCCATGTCCTAGAAGTCATCCTCCTGTGAGCCATCATCACTGTTAGTCACTGAAATACTAACTATTCACTGTTCTGGATCAGTTTGACCAAGCTAAGGATCAGTTTGAGATAAAGGACTACTCCTGAGATTGCAGATAGGGGCAACAAGCTTTCTAACAGTGCCTGTGATGAGCAAGCTGTCATACTCAGGAACTGCCTATCTTGCCACAGTGACTTGTGGGAGATCTCTGAAAACGATCTGAAACTTTGCTATCTATCTATCTATCTATCTATCTATCTATCTATCTATCAGCAGAAAGGCAGCAGAGCGAATCTCAAATTTAGATAATTAGGAGCACCTGATTGACTTGGCTTGGAAGTCATAACGACATCACAACCACCCCTCTGCCACATAACTGTATTTGTCAGGTAGATTTTCTTTTCCTTGTCCTTTATCCAGGAAGACAATGATATTTGCACTGTGACGTTTATATTAACCCTCAGAACTATTTGCACTACACTTCCTAATAAACAAGGCTGCTAAACCACAATAGCTGTGTCTGCAAGGACAGGCCAGCCAATGTCAGTCCTTTTCCAGTTTTGAAGAACACCAACTGTGTAGCTCCCCCAGGACAGATGATTGCAGAATACATGCTCATGATTTTGTTAGTGCCAACAATGATCTGGTACATGACAGTTGCGTGCTGTGCTGCAGTAAGCCCAAACAGTCCATTTTCTCCTTACTGAAAGGGAAAAAAAAAAGTCTCCACATTTATGATATTGTTGGCTTCCCTCGCCACTTCCAGCAGTTAGCATGATTTTTTACCTCATTTTGCATAAGATTCCTTCTTTCCTCCCATTCTTTCTTGGATTCAGTTCCATACGGCATTTTCAGATATTACAAACAGGTATCCAAGAGTCTGCTGCTTTTCCAGCAGGCATTTCAAGATTTTATGTGGGTAGAAAATTCTGTTTCCTTGGTCTCTCACAGCAGTGTAATGGGAGTAAATGATACAGACTGTTTTTTGTCAAGAAAGACCGAGAAGGTCTTTCTTTGGGTGAAGTTAGGATGAGGATAACCTCTGCTCTTCTCAGTTACTCTGAATGGATAGATGAGCAGAAAACAGTTGCCAGTCTGTGAAAATACAGGATCTGAAAGGGAACAGCTGATATCTAGAAAACTGCTGGCAGTAAAACTGGGATTATGTATCATTTATAGGGTGGGAGGAAGCATAGTGGCAGGACACAGACATTGGTGCAATTGTTTATCTACATTTGACATGCAAAAATGATATTTATATGAGCAAAATATCCTCAGGGGATAGCTCCTGCTTAAGACTTGAGATCCATCTCTACTTTAGAAAATGCAGAGGGAAAGGATTATGGTGTTAAGGCCTGGCTTGATGTTCCCAAAGCCCAAAGGCTCTGCAACTCAAGTTCCACGCGAGCTAGAGACTAATATATATAAACACAGGCGGTGCTGATGCACTTTTTTGGAGATGGAGAGCAGGTTAAGCTTATTGCAAGATACAGCTAATCATAGAATCCTTAGAGTTGGAAGAGATCTCTGAAGGCCATCTAGTCCAACTCCCACAAGATGCCATTGGTGCCTCAAGAAGAAAGGAGGGGTGTTGCACTATTTATGCATTACAAATGCAGGCATCAAAGCAGCGTAAACAAAGCAGCTTGCACAAAAACAAAGGACGCTGCAGCATTTCCAATCTAGGTTTCTTGTGCCCCAAACTAGCACTTCAATCATCTTCCTTCTCTGAGAAATGAGTATCAGAGAACGAAGTGAGCCTCTGCATTTTTCTAGCCCAAGACAAAACTGTGTCCATTGTTGGGACTAGTCCCCCAGGAGGAGTTATTTCTATTCAATTTGTGTGTGTCACAGCCAGATAATGCACTGGGTGGTATTTCCCTCTCTTCCCCCAATCTCTCTCTTTTATGACCACATGACTTCACCCCCTCGTGTGAGTGACAGTACCCATTAGACGAGACTCTGATGCAAAACAGCTGTGTGCCGAGAAGGGGAGGAAGGGAGTGGGGAACAGCAATTTAGAAAACAATTAAGAACATCAATTCCAATTCATTTGCTTGGCCAGGATAAGTAATTTCTAAGAGGTAACTTGATCTGCAGTGGACTGAGATTAAAGGCGAACTCCATTATCTCTAGTTTACAGTCTGGAGGAATTTGTTTTAAACGGTTACCAAGGAAGCTTCATTAAAAAAAAAAAAAAAAAGAAAGAAGGAAAGAAGGAAAGAAGGAAAGAAGGAAAGAAGGAAAGAAGGAAAGAAGGAAAGAAGGAAAGAAGGAAAGAAGGAAAGAAGG